TTCCAGCCCTTTCATCTGTGTGTAAGAGGAAAGGCTTTGAAACACTGGGGAGGGAAAGGACCGGTTGAGTGACTAGACATGTGACCAGCCATTGGAAGACCCTTGCTACCGATCCCAGGCTAGAGAGTGGGCCTTGAGGGGTTTCTTTAGCTGCTTTGTATAGGGGGGCTGCGTGTACAGCAAAGTTAGGGATCCAGTGCCGGAAGAAGCCCACTAAACCCAGGAAGGAGAGGATTTCGTCTGCATTAGTAGGTGGGGACAGGGTCTGGAGGGCTTGGAGACAGTCTTGGGTTAGGGCCTTGGTGGTAGGTGTGAGTGAGACTCCCAGGAATGTGACTGTGCTAGTACAGATTTGGGCTTCGTGTGGGGAGACTCGATACCCCAGGTTAGCCAGGAAGTTTAGGATATGGATTGTATCTTGTTTGGTGTGGTTGAAAGAGGTTCCACATACTAGAAGGTCATCTCCGTATTGTAGTAGAGTCCAGTGACTAGAGAGTGGGGATTTGAGGAGATCCCTGGCCAAGTCTTGCCCAAAGAGATGGGGACTATCACAGAACCCCTGGGGAAGTACCGTCCATGTGAGTTGGCAGGCCAAAGAGGTGACTGGATCTTGCCATGTGAAGGCGAAGAGGAATTGGGATTCAGGATGTAGGGGAATAGTGAAAAAGGCATCTTTGAGATCAAGGCATCTTTGAGATGGGTTGTGGATGGGGGAATTTGGGAGAAGAGGGTGTATGGGTTGGGCACTACTGGGTGGATAGGGATTACCACTTCATTGATTATTTGGAGGTCTTGTACTAGTCTATATGAGCCATTAGGCTTTTTTACAGGCAAGGTCAGGGTGTTGCTGGGGGAGTGACATGGGATTAGGAGGCCTTCCTTGAGTAGGCGATTGGTGATGGGCTTTAGGCCTAGTCGGTGGGTGTGGGAGATTGGGTATTGGGGTCTAGATGGGAATTGCGATGGATTTTTGAGTTTAATGAGGACAGGTTGGCGGTGGGTGGCAATCATCGGGGTGGATGTATCCCATACAATTGGGTTTACTGGGAGGTCTGGGTGTGGGTTAAGGTTGTGGTCTGTGTTGTCTGTGATAACAGTCAGTAGGAGATGAGTGGGGGAGGGAGAGGGGCAGATAGCTGGTGGGTGTATAGAGGCTCCTAATTTATTGAGGATGTCTTGGCCCAACAGGGGGACGGGGCAGGTGGGGATGACTAGGAAGGAGTGGGAGAAGTGGAAGCCATCCAGGCAGCAGGTGAGTACCGGTGTGCATGGGGGAATGGAGGGGGTGCCGTTTATACCCATGACCGAAATGGAGGACGGTGTGGTGGGGCCGGAATAGCTCAGCAGGATGGAATAGGTAGCCCCCATGTCCAACAGAAAGGAGATGGACTTACCCGCTACCTGGAGTTTTACCCTGGGCTCAACGTGGGTCACCGGAGTTACTGAGTCTAGGCCTCATCAGTCGTCATCCTCCATCTCCAGCAGTTGGAAGGCAGAGTCCAAATGGGGTGTAGCCTCTCCACATGGAGGCATCACGAGTCTGTCGTCCCTTGGGTTAGGACAATCGGATCTCCAATGGCCCATTTGTTGGCACAATGGTCATGGACTGGTAGGCTTTCGGGATGGGGACACTGATGAGACCAATGGCCTTCTTGGCCACATTTAAAGCAAGGCCCCGGAGGGGGCCATGGTCCAGAGGGCTTTATTGTGACTGGCCTCAGGGCAGCTACCAAGGCTTGGGTCTGTAATTGTACCTTTTGTTGGAGATGGGCCTGTCGCCGTTTTTCTTGAGCTTCCTCTTAGCCATTAAAAACTTTAAAAGCCATCTTTACCAGGTCAGCCATAGGGGTTTGAGGACCATCTTTGGCCTTTTTTAGTTTTTTTTGAATATCAGGGGCTGATTGGGAAATAAAATAGGTGGCCAATACTGTGGCCCCGGCAGGGGTGGTAGGCTCTAGTCTGGTATACTGGGTAAGTGCCTCTGTGAGCCGGCTAAGGAAGGCTGTGGGGTTTTCATTGGGGTCCTGTATTATTTCTTGAAGTTTGTTAAAATTTACTGATTTGTTTGAGTTTGCCCTCATGCCTACTAGTAGGCCCAGGATCATCTGGTCCCAGTGCCGGTGACCATTGCCTGCATGTTGGTAGTTCCAATTGGGGTCGGCTGCTGGGACAGCATCGGCCCCTACAGGCATAGTGGGGT